AGTCGATGATGAAAGATATCCATTCTTTTGTATCCTCATGCTCCACATGCTCCCAATGTAAGACGCCTAAAACTCTACCCGCAGGAAAACTAATGCCTCTACCTGTACCCAACAGACCATGGTCACACATTGCAATAGACTGTATCACTGATCTACCAGCATCTCAGGAATATACCACGATCCTGACTGTAGTTGATCGTTTCTCTAAAGGAGTGAGATTTGTGCCATTTACCACGATCCCCAGCACCTTTCAGACCGCTCAAGCCTTGTTCCAACACGTTTTCGTGTCTTTGGGATTCCAGAAGACATTGTCTCAGACAGAGGTCCACAATTCGCATCCCTGGTATGGGCGGCGTTCTTTGAACACCTTGGTGTTTCTATTAGTCTATCCTCAGGATATCACCCCCAATCTAACGGCCAATGTGAAAGGGTAAATCAAGAATTATGCAAGTTCCTGCAATTGTTCTGTCACGAAAACCCCTCTGATTGGTCTAAATATTTAGTATGGGCTGAGATTGCACAAAATTCGCTAACCAGTTCTGTCACAGGGATGACTCCCTTCCAGTGTGTCTTAGGCTACCAACCGCCTCTAGCTCCATGGACCGGGGCGCAGACTGATGTTCCAGCAGTGGATGAGTGGATGACAAGGAGTGAACAGGTTTGGGAGGAAATCAACCAGCGCATTGAGACTGCTCTCCAGCGCCACAAAGAACAAGCTGACCGACATAGAGGTCCAACCCCCATCTATCAACCAGGAGATCGGGTGTGGCTGGCCACTAAGGACTTCCGCAGCTCGGAGGGAAGTTGTAGAAAATTACAGCCCAAGTATATTGGGCCTTTTAGGATAGTTAAGAGAATAAATGAGGTCACATACAGACTTGACTTAGCTCCACGTTTCCGGGTATCACGTTCATTCCATGTCTCACTTCTTAAACCTGTCATTGCAGGGCCCTTGGACAAGGCTACTCCAGACATCTCCCATCCGCCACCGGAGGTGATAGATGGGGCTCCAGTGTACGCTGTCCGTAGGTTGCTGGACTCCAGAAGACGCGGCGGGCTTCTTCAATACCTGGTGGACTGGGAGGGGTATGGCCCGGAGGAGCAATGTTGGGTGTCGGCTAAGGATGTGCTAGACCCAGCGCTCGTGGCGGACTTCCACAGTCGACATCCGGAGAAGCCAGCTCCTCGCTCCAGGGGTCGCCCCCCGTAAGCGACTGACCAGTTCCCTTCCGGCCCGCCTGCAAGGTTCCCGTGAGGAAGGTTCCTCGGTCCAGCACCTCAGCAGCTCTAGTTCAGCCCCTGTTCGCGTATCCGGTGGTAAGCGTGGGGGTCGTCCTGGTCGTCCTCGTACCGAGGCCCGCCCGGACTCTTTGGTGGGGGGGGGGTACTGTCACGTCTTGTACGAACTCACATCTGTGTTTTGACTATTTTTGCTTTTTTGACCTCGTCTTTTGTCTTGCTCTATTGTTTTGTTCGCCTCGTGATATGATCACTTTTGTGATCTTTTTGCACTTTTTGACCCACGCCTGTGTTTTGACTACGTTTTTGCCTAGTGTTAATAAAACCATTCTTGTCAGTTTTATCCGCACGCATCTGGATTCTGCTGAATGGTTACACAAAAGGGTTACATTCATGAAACACCAAATGGCAAACTGTCAAATAATGATTTTGCCATGGTACATAGGTAGCTACAACCAAGCAAAGCCTCTCCTTCACTTACCTTCAAAATTTGTAGTGGATGCCTAATGTGTCAAATAATTAAACATAATTAGTAACTAACAGTGTAATTAACAGATCACATTTTGATTTCTAATGGGTGGGATCAATTTAGATAAATCATCACAAAAAGTGGCAGCTCTATGCCTAAGCTCTTAGCTCATAGAGTCACTATAAAAAATGCTACAATGTACAATCTGTACAATATATATATTAAGTTTAAAAAAAAATGATTGTTTTTTGCAAGCTTCAAATGTTTAAAATGTGTTTAATCTAAAACAGCCAAAAATAGTGCATTTAAATTTTCTTTAGCTTTCTGCTAACATGCTATTAGAATCCTATAGGGCAGCTAGTAAAAATTAGTGTTATTGTGAGAGCTTACATACTTCACAGTCATGGTTAGATGTTAATGTAATCACTGGTAGTTCCTCTGTATACATTTGCACATGCAAAAGTGATTTCATGTTGGCTTAACAGGGAGGAAAATTAATCACAGTGGCTGTAAGCTACTGTAAGCTACTGTAGAGGCACCAAAAAATGACAAAGATCTTGACAGACTTATGTAGCATGGTTTCATTTATTTGTTGAAAAATATGATAATCTTCCCAGATATAATTCAAGCACACTGAGAGACAGAATCAAACAAAACGGATACAGAGGAGGTATAAGAGGAAACTGAGTAGTACAGACAGAAACCAGGAAATACAGGTAGAATAAAGGCCAGGCTCAGAAACTCAGCAACAAAACACTTTGCAAGGAAGTGATTCAAGCGCAGAGGTACATATAATAGCCTACCACATACTGCTTCCGTACTTGTGCCCAAAAGTAGTAGGCAGTATGCAGGATGTGAACAAGATGCATTTCCTCAGTATGCCAGTAACCAGCCAGAGCTAACTTCATGATTTACTGCATCCCAACATGCAACATGGCTGTTTCAGGAGGATGTAGCCACTGACATAACTGCCTGGATATTTGTATAGCACTGGATTCAGCCATTCTATACCTTAACCCTCTGGGGTTGATGAACACTACGGTCATGCATAAAATTCAGTGTTTCTATATATGTTTCTCTATCTTTGCTACAATTCAATGCAGAAATATAGTTCAAATATTTCTAAAATCTGTAGGGTCACCCTTATCCCAAAATCATATGTGACTCACATTCTGAGTGATGAGGCTATGAAGAGGGGTTGAAATACACGTCATTTGCCTCTCACCATGTGTAATTGGTGGATTTTGTGTGAAACTGACCAATAGACACTCAGGAAATCATTAAGAACTGACGCATCATGTCGGAAACTATTCGTTTTTCATTCAGTCCACATCGGAGACACATGTGAAATGGCATGAAAAGAGTTTACAACCACTGAAGTTGCTGCAGCAATGAAGATAACAGAGGATTTTAATATGAAACATATGAGTATCATGTTATATGCAAGTACCTTTAAAGGCAAATTTAAGAAGAAATGCAAAATCAAGAAAATGCCAGAAGGTTAATAATGGCAAACTTAAAGAAATTTGTCCAAATGCTGATGCACTCGGTGCAAGACTGAAGCCACACCAGTTTTCTCTGCTGGTGTTGAGGTGGGTTTGTTTACTTCATCTATTTAATAAAGTTAACTTACTGCATTGAGTATCTGGTTAGAACAGTACATTAGTAGAGTTGGTCTCAGCCAAAGAATTTGTTCATCATTAGCTTTTCAGGCAGTCAAAATAGCTCATATTATCAACTACGAATGGAAGGAAAATGAAATGACTCACAAAAGGAAGAAAACAAGTGTTTGGAAACCACAGAGGTTTACCACACGGACTAATCCAAAGATGAACATTTTCAAAGTTTATTTGTGGCTTTACAGAAAACAAGATATGCCCTCTGTCACGAGTCACACAGCCACATCTGTTGACCAAAATGCAAATGTACCTGCTGAAAAGAAGCTAGCAACAGTTTCTTGGAAGAGGAAAATGGAGGGGCTTGAGATGGGTTTGATTGGCTGGTGTTGCCAGGTGTTTGTAACCAATATGTTATTTTCCATAGTTGTGCTTATGCGTGGTTGGACACTAATATATATTTGCAGCCAGATATTGGGATAGTCGACAAATATTACAGAAAAATGTGCTGAAAGTGCAAAATATTAAGATGGGTCACTACACATTTTAAACAAAAACATATGACAATTTTTGGCATCCCTGTTTTCAGTTCTTTGCCCATCTTCATTTTGCCATAATGCTGGACGAGGAGGAATGTTCTCCTATAATAATGAATGAGGAGGGAGAAGATAATGTCATAATAAAAAAGATTAAGAATCATTCAAAATGTTTCATGAAAACAGATACGTGATACCACAATCAAAAAGAGAAGGAAGATATGAAAGTAGTTTGAAGAGGTTGTGAAAAATCACTAACCTGAATGAAATTTTTCTGATCTCAAGATGCCAATTTTAATGCTCAGTTCCTTTTCATGTAATTAATACCAATTATGAAACTCTGCAAACTTCACAAAATGACATATGATTCTTGTGTTGAAATTTGTATGCCAGTTGTCTAGCAGCTACCATGAGTAGGGCAAAGCCAGTAGGTCAGAAGGTATTAGCCATTGTGGTTTACTGTTTATCATCAAACAATAGAACTTCCCCTATAAGCACACAGGATGTGGCCTATCAGAAGCCAACACATTTTCCACTGTAGTGAAGGTTTAAGCAACAAGCGGTAGCTGTTCAAATTGTGCAATTTCTTGCAACACAACTCTCTTGTCAGAGGTTATTTTATTCATTTTGGACTTGGTTTTTAGTACAACTACAAAACCAGAAAACAGGTTGCACAAAATTACAATTAAAGATTGCACATAAAATTGATCCTAGAACAAAACCTTGTGGAACACCTTAAATGTCTTCAATAAAGAACCACATTTTTGCATATTGTGTCATTTACCACAGATCAATATTGTTTCAATAAAGAGTATCTGTAGGGAAAACTAGTTCTTGTCAAACTGCAAGCAATACAAAAAACAAAACCTAAACAAATATATTCTTATCTCTACATATCCTAAACAGCAAAAAAAAAACAAATAAACAAATACATCCTTATGAATTTAATTAATTGTATTTATAAATGCTAAGAGTGCAAAACAAAAAAGAATGAAAAAAATACAGATCAAAACATTGATTGATTTGCAACACACTTGCCTTGTATTTTCAAATGCAAACAGAATTCTTTGTTTAATGTCAGGCGCAGATACTTTAACATGAACCCATCACTAGCTGAGATTCTCCTTCACTATGAATGATCTAAGCACTTTCTTTACTAGATGCATGCTGTCTTATTGCCCAAGCAGAGAAGGCATATACAAAGGGGTTCACACAGCTGTTGATGAAAGTCAGAGCTCCAGCAATGTTGCTTCCAGCTTCTGCAAACCTCAACAGCTGATCCTGGCCGAGTAAAACAGCGACTATGAGCATGATGTTGTTGATATGAATTGGGACCCAAAAAAAGAAGAAAGCTGCCACAATTCTGCTCACCAGCCTCGTCATCCTGCGAGTATTAAAGAAAGCTGATTGAGTAACGCCGCGTTGAAGGCGGACATAACAATAAACCAGGAGGGGGAACAGAACAGCGAACATCATCAATGTCTCGAAGAACAAAGTTGCCACTCTCTCTGTGTTATTTTGATAGTGTGCCCTGCAGTGCAGCCATCCATCCTTCTCCAACTTTACACGCCGCTGAACGAGAGAGTAACAAGCGAATACTCCACTCAGAATCCATATTCCACTCATAAGACCATTCTGTCCTCTTGCTCTGAGCTTAGCCCATTTCTGAGGATGCAGTACTTGAACATATCTCTGCACACTCAGTAAAGTCACACACAGCACGCTGCTGTAGAGGCTCCAGTAGACCACGTAGGAGAAGAACTTACACAAGCCCAAACCAAAGACCCAGTCATGAAGAAAAGCAGAGATCCACACCGGCAGTGGAAGCAGCGTCATTAGATCTGAGATGGCCAGGCTCAGCATCAGCCTTGGGGTGAAACTGCCTCCCTTTAGCCACCCAGAAAGAAGCACTAGTACTGCTATATTTCCAGGGACCCCCAGTGCAAAGCACAGCCCCAGTACACTACTGGCAGCCAAGGTTTCAGATGAGAGAGAGATTGAGCTGTTGGAAGGGTTGCTGTGCTGCATGATTGTGGTAAGTTTCAGGTATGGTCATAGGAGAAGAACTCATAGCTGATGAATTGAGAATGCTGAAAGAGGAAGTGATTGAATACCAGAACAGAAACACAATCTGAGATAGCAACACTGTGTAAAAAAGTAGGTCAAAAGTGCTTAATGGGGTTTTAATTTTCTCACATCAAGCATTTCCTGTGAGACTGCTTTTTAAAATTATCAGTGCTAAATTACCTTGTACATGGTTAATAAAACCTTATTCCTGACTGGGTTCAATAAAAACACTTCAAAAGTTCATTTAACATTATTTGTTTGACCTTATGTGCTTCACTTTAAAGGAAGCTTTAAAGAAGACCATCACAAACTTGGAGGACATAAGCACTCTCTGTCCCATAAGTGTGCTGCTTTACAGCTCGAGAAAAGAAGGCATACATCAACAAAGATGAGCTTGAGCCCAGAGAAGTTGGCAGTGTTTCTGGACGTTGTTGACATATGTCACATGACATACCGTGCCATGCAGACATATGACATATGTCTCCATGGCATGGTATTAACTTGCATATGTGGCCAGAGGTATAAGGAGTACTGAAAATCCCTACTTAAGTACAAGTACTGTTACTGTAGTGATAATTTACTCAAGTACAAGTAAAAGTATTAGTAACTAAAATTAATCAGGTAAGAGAAAATGAGTAGTTTACTAAAAACCTAGTTACTTTTTCAAATTACCACAACCTGAAAATATTTCTGAGCTGACTCAGCTACATCACTGGAAATAATCTGTACAGAACAACACTAAAGCAAAACATGATGTTATGTGGGAAAAAAGTTCTGAGAGCTGAGACTGATCACAGTTCACTCTGCTAGTGCACATTTACACATCTTTCTGTGAACTGTGTAAGGAATGAGGTTTACATTAAACTGCATGCATTTCATGGTTAGATGATTATATAAGACTTCCTATTTTATCTGTTTATCTGTAAAAAAAAAAACTACAAAATTATGAGTAGATTGCTTAATTAATAATGTAATATTAGTGAGAGCCCTGCTGCCCATCAGCTCCCTGGACTCTAGCTTACATTAACAGGTGTGAGCCTCTACAGACAGTAAACACATTCACAGCCTTCAAACTGTACATTTTCACTGATATCTGTTCAGAACATTTACACCATTAAAATCAGCAGCAACATCAGCAATTTACCCAGCTTTGATCATTACTGTAATATATTTCACTGATAATCATGTTGATCAGCATCATACAGAATCAGACATTATTACTGCATTTACCAGTTAAACAGCTACACAGCCACTCACAGTTAAAGACAAACACCAAGGCAGAGAGAGAGAGAGAGAGAGAGAGAGGAAGAGAAAGAGAGAGAGGGCAGGGAGGTGGGAGAGGTCAGATCAGGCCAGTCAGCTTAAACAATGTCAACGCGACAGAATAACTGTCCAGAGTTTATGAAGAGTCTGTATTAGACTAGATTTCTTGTCTCACAGCCTTAAACGACCATTTATCTCCAAAACACCTGCTAAACTAGGCTGTATTATAATGGTACACTGTGGGCTCTGGATGACCCCTGTTTACTAAAGTAGCTCACAGGCACTTGTAATAAAATATACGCAACAGATTTCAAGTTTAATAAACAGAATCATCATAAAAGAAAGAAGAAAACCGTAAACACGGTACCTGTTTAGCTCGGATAAGCTAGCTTGGCTAATGCTGTCTCAGGCTGCAGTCGAGCTGTGACAGCGGCTCTGAGCAGGTTTCATGTTTGGCAGCCGATAATGACGCCGTTTTCTTTAGTTCATGTGAAAATGAATACAGATGACCATTTGGATGCGGTCTGTTCCTCGTGTGTGCTGGTTAATTTCTCCTCTGTCCTTCTCCACTAAACTGGACATCTCTGTAGTGTTTTTCCTGCTGGAGCTGCTGTTTTTTGATTGGTGAATCTTTTAAATTTAACCGCCCTTCGTTCGTATTGGGTTATGAGCTGATACGGTCATGATTTATTTTTATTCTGTAACATTATTCAAATTAAAGTAGCGAAGTAAAAGTATTTCATTAAAAATTAACTCATGTAAGAGTGAAAGTACTATTATTTAATTCTACTCCAAAAAGTACCGTTACAGGGAAAACTGTACTCAAGTACAGTAACAAGACTAAATGAAATTCGTTACTTACACCTCTGTGTGTGGATACAGCAATAAATGTTATCCCAAACCATGTGGTTATGGTAAAGTATCCAAAGCCAAAGTGGTGATATCCATCACAAAAGCATGTCACTTTTAATGCAGTGCTGTCTGAGGCATTGAAGGTCACGGGCATTCAGCTGTGGTTTTTGGCTTTGCCCTTTATGCACTGAGATTTATCCACATTCCCTGAATCTTTAGAAGATATGCACCGTAGAGGGTGAAAGATCCTTGCAATCGCTCATCGATGAATGCTGTTCTTAAACAGCTAGATTATATGGTAATGCATTTTTTGGAAAAGTCGCGAGCCGCAACTCATCCTTGCTCTTAAAGGATTAGGCTTTTCCTGGCTGCTCACTTTATACCCAAGCATGATTGCATCAGCTGTTTAAGATATTTTTGAACACTCCTAGTCATAACTTGCCCCTGTATCAATTTTTTTGGAATATGTTCCCTGCATCAATTTCAGAATGAGCATGTATTTACAAACAACAATGAAGTTGGTATGGTAAACAATGTAATATCTTGTCTTTGCACAGTTTTCATTTGAAAAACTGGTCAAGGTGGATTTTCAAATGACAGCTTTCTCTTGGAATTTGCTTTTCACATACTGTTCCAACTTTTTTGCATTTGAAGTTTGTAGATTAAACTGAATGATATTGTTGGTGCTCCCCCAACTCTTAATTCACAGTTGCTGTGAAAAATGTAAATAAAAACAGAATATGATGATGTACAAATCATTTAAACCCTATATTGACAATAGCACAAAGACAACATATCAAATGCTGAAACTGAGAAATTTTATTGCTTTTTGAAAATCTATGCCAATTTTGAATTTGATGCCAGCAAAACGTTTCAAAAAAAGTTGGAACAGAAGCATGTTTACCTTAGTGTTGCATCACCTCTTCTTTTTATAGCACTCTGTAAGTGTTTGGGAACTAAGCAGACCAACTGCTGTAGTTTTGAAAGTGAAATGTTTTCCCATTCTTGCTCTATATAGGATTTCAGCTGCTTAATAGTTCAGGGTCTCCTTTGTCGTATTTTTCATTTCATAATATGCCAAATTGTCACGCCTCAGGCTGAATCGGACTTCATTTCCCAGGATACACTGGAAGATCACATGTCTGGGCAACGTCATTCAGACTTGGAGCTCAGAAGGGGCTCCAACAACCACAATACCTCAGGAGATCACATGACTACGGACTGTCACGCACGCACCTATCAGCGTTCGCAATCTCCCGAATATTGAGTGTATACACCTGAATCCAATGTCATATGATCACATTAGGGGGCTTTAGCGTTAGTCAGTGTGAAGTATTGTTTCTGTTAGAACTTACTGAGCGTTTTCTATGTTGCTATTACTGCCTGTTATGACCCTTGTTTCGTTTTCTTGACCTTGTCCCTTTTGGTACTTCTGCCCGGTTGTGTTTGGACCTGTTTTTCGACCCTTTTGCCCATTCTCCTGACAACGTTTTTGGATTATCCTTGTGGTTTTGTATGCTTAGTGTTAGGATCACTTTTGTGATTCTGTATAAGTCTTTTTGGCTCCGACCTTTGCTTGTTTTTGGACCCGACTTTCTAAACTCTAATAAACCTGGTTTTCACTGTTTATCCGCGAGCGTCTGGATTCTGCTACAGCGTCACACAAATGTTAACAGTGGTGACAGGTCTGGACTGCAGCCAGGCCAGTTTAGCACTCAGACTCTTTTACTGTAGTGCCATGCTGTTGTAATACATGCAGAATGTGGTTTGACTGATGTAAGCAAGGCATTCATGGAACAAGGCATCATCTGGATGGCAGCATATGCTGCTGCAACACCTGTATATATAATTCAGCATTAATGGTGCCTTCACAGATGTACAAGTCACCCATGCTGTGTGCACTAATGCACCTCCATATCATCAGGGATGCTGGCTTTTGAACTGTGCACTGATAAGAAACCAGACAGTCCCTCTGCTCTTTAGCCTGGAGAACGTGTCATCAATGGTTTCCAAAAAGAATTTCAGATTTTGATTAATTGGACCACAGGACACTTTTCTGCTTTGTCTCAGTCCATCTTAAATGAGTTCAGGCCCAGAGAAGGCGGTGGCATTTCTGGATCCTATTTGTATGCGGTTTCGTCTTTGCGTGGTAGAGTTTTAACTTGCATTTGTGGATGCAGCGATAAATTGTGTTCACAGAAAATGTTTTTCGGAAATGTTCCTGAGCCCATGCAGTGATTTTGACTACAGAATTGTGTCTGTATTGTATCTGTATTGGTTTTCAGCCTTGTCCCTCGCACAAATATTTCTCTGGATTCTCTGAATCTTTTTTAATGATATTATGTACCATATATGATGAAATCCCCAAGTTCTTTGCTCTTTTAAGTTAAAATGTTATTCTTGAATTGTTTGAATTGAGTGGTGAACCCCTCCCTATCTTTACTTCTGAAAGATTCTTTTTTCATAGCCAATCAGGTTACTGACTTGTTACCAATTAACCTGATTAGTTGTGTGATGTTCCACTAGGTGTTTTTATTTTTAGCATTACACAAATTTACCAGTCTATTGTTGGACCTGTCCCAACTTTTTTGAAATATGTTGAATCAAACTCAAAATGAGTACAAAACAATACAATTTGTCAGTTTCAACATTTTATATGTTGTCTTTGTCCATCAAATATAGGAGACTAGTAATGATTTAAATGATTTGCACATCACTGCATTCTGTTTTTATTTACATTTATACAACAGTTCTAACCGTGCTGTTATATGCCATAACAGCACGTTTTTTTTTTCACAAACACTGTATCACTCCACTGAAATGCTGTTGCTAAGCAACGACTTTGACAGCTGTAGGAGATGCTAAAGCCATTTGAATGTGTTTACTTCTTACTTTACGCACAAACAGAAAATGGATACTTTTAAGATCACATTTGATCGACAGCAGATTTGGTCAGACTTTGAAGATGAGACTACACTAAATTCACAAACTGTCATTACCACTGAGCAGCTTTTCAGTCGGCAGCTGTGACAGAACACCACCTAAACAACCTGGAATTAGCCAGAAATGAACTGAATACCATTCGCCAAACAAAATGGGCTGTAAGATACTTTATAGACTGGCTGGAACAAAACTACATTAAGATTGATCTGGCAAAAAATGACAACACTGAGCTACGCTTGATATTGCGTCAGTTTTATGGCTCAGTCCGTACTTCAAAAGGCGAGGCTTACAGCAGACCATGCAGCGAGTTCGCGGAGTTCGTTACTCTGACGTAGCAACAAGCTTCTTGTTAAGGAACTATAATTTGGCGGAAGGAACTGCTAACATTAAAACAGTAAATGGCACATTCACAGCATTTATTTCTTACATACTTATTTATAGAACTGTTGTATAAAAGCAATAGAACACTCAAGGTTGTGTGTTATCGTGAATAACACACTCCCTCTCATGTTCTGTTGCTTAATTTGCACAGTGTTCCAACTTTTTTGGAAATGGGGTTGTACCTTAAAATAGCCCTGGATGTGGACTTACAGAAACTGATGTGTTATCCAGTCTGCTGGTTGAAGACATTTTCATGCTAGAACCCACATACAGAGGTAGTGTTTGTTCTGACTAAATACTAAATATTTTATGTAGTGAAATCAATTCTAAAATCAGAAAAAGTCCTTTTCAGTCATATTTTACTCAATATACTGTTACTTTAATCAACAAACACAATAGCATACTGTGATGAGAATGAAACATGCATGGCCTTACACTGTTACATACTTGTAACTTAGATAGAAAAATAGAAAAATTGTGAAATAGAAAAATAGTAATATGTGTTATGTTTTATATTTACACATGATTTTTCAAGCACTTACATTCAGTATACACACATTACATTTTATTCATCTATTGTTGTACATTACATGTATTATTTACCTTTGTTCTGATCCATGTTGGATCAGATTAGAAGGCTTACACTGTGCTTATTCACCATTGCTTCACCACGGAAATACCCAGTCATGAGTGACAAAATTGAAAAATTGGAAGTAAAAATTACATACATGTTTAGTTCCATGTAGCTTGTGGCATGCAGCAAAAAAGCATTGAGTGGAGTGACTTTACAAAATTGTTAATGTAGATTGAAAATAAAAGTAACCTTAGAACAGAACCTTGTGGAACACCTTGAGAGATTTTTAATGAACCTTAACATTCACATTTTCACTTTAGATCATGTTGTTTCAGACTGTGCTATGAGAAATTTCTGTGGTCCATCTCTCATTTCCAATTTGTACAAAAAACAATTTACATGTCTTTATAAACGAAGTTCATTATAAATGCCAAGGATGCAAAAGAAGAAAAAGTGAAGGACTTAAGCACTTTCTGTCCCAGTTGTGCGCTGCCTTAGAGCCCGAGCAGAGAAGGCATACACGAAGGGGTTCACGCAACTGTTGATGAAAGTCAGAGCTCCGGCAATGTCATCTCCTGCTTCTGCAAACCTCAACAGATGGTCATTTTTGAGTAACAATGCAACAATCAGCATAATGTTGTTGATATGAAGCGAAACCCAAAAAAAGAAGAAAGTCGCCACGGTTCTGGTCACCAGCCTCGTCATCCTGTGGCTGTTAAAGAAAGCTGATTGACTAACACTGCGGTGAAGACGAACGTAGAAATAAACCAGGAGGGGGAACGGCACCGCAAACATCACCACGGTCTCCAAAAGCAAAGTTGCCACCCTCTCTGTGTTATTTTGATAGTGTGCCCTGCATTGCAGCCGTCCATCCTCTTCCAACTTTACACGCCGCTGAATGAGAGCGTAACAAGCTAATAATCCACTCAGAATCCATATTCCACTCACAAGACCATTCTGTCCTCTTGCTCTGAGCTTAGCCCACTTCTGAGGATGCAGTACTTGAACATATCTCTGCACACTCAGTAAAGTCACACACAGCACGCTGCTGTAGAGGCTCCAGTAGACCACGTAGGAGAAGAACTTACACGAGCCCAAACCAAAGACCCAGTCATGAAGAAGAGCGTAGATCCATACCGGCAGTGGAAGCAGCGTCATTAGATCTGATATGGCCAGGCTCAGCATCAGCCTTGGGGTGAAACTGCCTCCCTTTAGCCACCCAGAAAGAAGCACCAGTACTGCTATATTTCCAGGGACCCCCAGTGCAAAGCACAGCCCCAGTACACTACTGGCAGCCAAGGTTTCAGATGAGAGAGAGATTGAGCTGTTAGAAGAGTTGCCGTACTGCATGGTTTGTGGTAAGATGCTACTGTGGTCATAGCTACAAGGATTAAGAATGGTAAAAGAGGAAGTGACTAAAAATGAAAACAGAAGTATGGTTTTTGTAGTTTAGCAAAGAAACATTTCTGTAAGCCGAGACAGCTGTCAAGTGTTCTGATTTTTCTCTTATTAAAGTCATCAGTCCTAAATTACCCAATGCATGATTAGCAAGAGTTTACTTCAGGCTAAGGTCAAAACAATAACCTCACAAGTTCTTTTAGCATTTATGATTTGCTGACATACTTGTTCAGTGTATTGGTGGTTGGTGATGTGGTTATATACTTGTTCAGTGTACTGGTGGTTGGTGATGTGGTTATATGCTTGTTCAGTGTATTGGTGGTTGGTGATGTGGTTATATACTTGTTCAGTGTATTGATGGTTGATGTGGTTATATACTTGTTCAGTGTATTGGTGGTTGGTGATGTGGTTATATACTTGTTCAGTGTATTGATGGTTGATGTGGTTATATACTTGTTCAGTGTATTGGTGGTTGGTGATGTGGTTATATACTTGTTCAGTGTATTGGTGTGTGATGTGTTATATACTTGTTCAGTGTATGGTGGTGTGAGTGTTATATACTTGTTCAGTGTATTGGTGGTTGGTGATGTGGTTATATACTTGTTCAGTGTATTGGTGGTTGGTGATGTGGTTATATACTTGTTCAGTGTATTGGTGGTTGGTGATGTGGTTATATACTTGTTCAGTGTATTGGTGGTTGGTGATGTGGTTATATACTTGTTCAGTGTATTGGTGGTTGGTGATGTGGTTATATACTTGTTCAGTGTATTGGTGGTTGGTGATGTGGTTATATACTTGTTCAGTGTATTGGTGGTTGGTGATGTGGTTATATACTTGTTCAGTGTATTGGTGGTTGGTGATGTGGTTATATACTTGTTCAGTGTATGGTGGTGTGATGTGGTATATGTAGTGTATGGTGGTGGGAGTGTATACTTGTTCAGTGTATGGTGGTGGTGATGTGGTATACTTGTTCAGTGTATGTGGTGGTGAGTGTTATACTTGTTCAGTGTATTGGTGGTTGGTGATGTGGTTATATACTTGTTCAGTGTATTGGTGGTTGGTGATGTAGTTATATACTTGTTCAGTGTATTGGTGGTTGGTGATGTAGTTATATACTTGTTCAGTGTATTGGTGGTTGGTGGTTTGCTTATATACTTGTTCAGTGTATTGGTGGTTGGGTTTTATACTTGTTCAGTGTTGGTGGTTGGGTTTATACTTGTTCAGTGTGTTGGTGGTTGGGTTTTATACTTGTTCAGTGTGTTGGTGGTTGGGTTTTATACTTGTTCAGTGTGTTGGTGGTTGGGTTTTATACTTGTTCAGTGTGTTGGTGGTTGGTGATGTGGTTATATACTTGTTCAGCATTTTGGTGGTTGTTGGTTTGCTTGTATACTTGTTCAGTGTATTGTTGGGTCTTGATTTGGTTATATAGATGTTCAGTGTATTGTTGGGTCTTGGTTTGGTTATATAGTTGTTCAATGTATTGGTGGTTTAGTGATGTGGTTGTATACTTGTTTAGTGTATTGGTGGTTAGTGTTCTGTCTATATGCTGGCTCAAGGTGTTGGTGTTTTTCATACTTGTTCTGTGTGTTAGTGGTTGGTGATTTGGTCATACACTTGTTTAGTGTATTGGTGTTTTGCCTACTTGTTCAGTATGTTGGTGGTTTGGTTATGTACTTGTTCAGTTTAAGGATTAAGAATGGTAAAAGAGGAAGTGACTAAAAATGAAAACAGAAGTATGGTCCTTGTAGTTTAGCAAAGAAACATTTCTGTAAGCCGAGACAGCTGTCAAGTGTTCTGATTTTTCTCTTATTAAAGTCATCAGTCCTAAATTACCCAATGCATGATTAGCAAGAGTTTACTTCAGGCTAAGGTCAAAACAATAACCTCACAAGTTCTTTTAGCATTTATGATTTGCTGACATACTTGTTCAGTGTATTGGTGGTTGGTGATGTGGTTATATACTTGTTCAGTGTACTGGTGGTTGGTGATGTGGTTATATACTTGTTCAGTGTATTGGTGGTTGGTGATGTGGTTATATACTTGTTCAGTGTATTGGTGGTTGGTGATGTGGTTATATACTTGTTCAGTGTATTGGTGGTTGGTGATGTGGTTATATACTTGTTCAGTGTATTGGTGGTTGGTGATGTGGTTATATACTTGTTCAGTGTATTGGTGGTTGGTGATGTGGTTATATACTTGTTCAGTGTACTGGTGGTTGATGATGTGGTTATATACTTGTTCAGTGTATTGGTGGTTGGTGATGTGGTTATATACTTGTTCAGTGTATTGGTGGTTGGTGATGTAGTTAAATACTTGTTCAGTGTATTGGTGGTAGGTGATGTGGTTATATACTTGTTCAGTGTATTGGTGGTTGGTGATGTGGTTATATACTTGTTCAGTGTACTGGTGGTTGATGATGTGGTTATATACTTGTTCAGTGTATTGGTGGTGGTGATGTAGTTAATACTGTTCAGTGTATTGTGGTGGTGATGTAGTTATATACTTGTTCAGTGTATTGGTGGTTGGTGGTTTGCTTATATACTTGTTCAGTGTATTGGTGGTTGGGTTTTATACTTGTTCAGTGTGTTGGTGGTTGGGTTTTATACTTGTTCAGTGTGTTGGTGGTTGGGTTTTATACTTGTTCAGTGTGTTGGTGGTTGGTGATGTGGTTATATACTTGTTCAGCATTTTGGTGGTTGTTGGTTTGCTTGTATACTTGTTCAGTGTATTGTTGGGTCTTGATTTGGTTATATAGATGTTCAGTGTATTGTTGGGTCTTGGTTTGGTTATATAGTTGTTCAATGTATTGGTGGTTTAGTGATGTGGTTGTATACTTGTTTAGTGTATTGGTGGTTAGTGTTCTGTCTATATGCTGGCTCAAGGTGTTGGTGTTTTTCATACTTGTTCTGTGTGTTAGTGGTTGGTGATTTGGTCATACACTTGTTTAGTGTATTGGTGTTTTGCCTACTTGTTCAGTATGTTGGTGGTTTGGTTATGTACTTGTTCAGTTTATAGGTGGTTTGGTTATATACTTGTTATACATGTATAATGTAATATACCATATACCAATAGCTATATACCCGCTGGCAGTGTTAGTGATCTTACTAACTACAGTGTTATACTCTGTGTGTGAAATCCTCAATAAATAAATTATAAAAATAAATAGTGTGCACGAAAATTGGTAGAAAAATGCCACATTTGAGTGTGTTCTCCATAGAGGATGTGTTCTTATATTCACTTAGGTCAGAGGTGTTCAGACGTTTGCATATGACTGTACTTATGGTTTCTAATCTGCAATTGGGCATTTAAGAGAGGAACTTGACACTAAAAACAGAAGCTTGCCATTTTGAGGATAAAGCAGGGTAAAATACAACACCATTACAAAGCCTTTTTCCATATTTGTATTTGAGCATCTCCCAAATGGACTCTATAACACATAATATGGTTACGAGTTTATTTTAAGGAAATCCCAGATTTGATTTTGAGGTTTTCAGGGATTCTGAAGGATTAATGAGGAAGTCCTGGACCTCCTGGGACCCCACTGTATTTCACACCTTGATTATACTCTTATAGAATGAGGGTCTTACTTCTTAAATATCCATGCTGATTTGGTTTGCAATTGTATGGTCTTCGGATCAAACCAGGTTTATCTGTAAATCTATAAACATCACTCTGCTTCCCTTCACTATTACTCAGCGAGGTCACTAGTGCAGTATGTACGTGTGTGTGTGTGTGTGTGTGTGTGTGTGTGTGTGTGTGTGAGCTTGACAAGCGTGCAAACAGCAGGGAGAAATACAGATGGGCTCTTAAATATTCATGATCTCTGTTTGTTAGCGTGTTTGTTGTAGTTGGTAGTGCTTGACTGGCCTCATGTGTGGGAAGAAAATGGCCTGTTATCACTAGCCTCTGCTGAATAGATTACGCTGGATATGTAATCCCAAACAGTGGGGGTAGGATGTGTTAAAAGTACAGATATGTGTTTGTATTTGTGTTTGTATGTGTTTGTGTGTGCTTACAAATTCATCTCCATTTCTGGAAAAGCTCTACCAACACAATGTTCTCTCTTTGGTATCAGTATTGGTAGATTTTCATTTCATCTCCTATTTGGGTCAATGTCCTTATTGCACCAATACACATTGGTATGGTAGGAGTGGGGCTCAGCTGTTCTGGAAGTCACAAGTAAACAGATTCATTATTTAATATCATTGGAGAATTTCAGATGCACTTCAACTCCCATCGCTCTCTCTCTGATTCACCCTGCATAAATTTATCTTGGTCTATCTGACCTCTTTAAAAATGCCCTAAAAATTCGGCCCCCATATGCCACCTTAAACTGATGTTATATAAACTGAAATCATACATCCCTGTCTCAGGTCCTCTTGGGACACCCATTTGTCACATTTTAGTTCAGTCTCTTCCTTTATATGCTCAAAATTCAAGTCTGCTTATCAGTCTGCAGGCTGTAATGAGTGATCGAGGGAGGCTGAACACAGGAGAGGCTTTAATGAAGCTAAGTGCAAAAATAACAAGACAAAGTCAAATGCAGGCAAACAGGTCAGGCTATCTTCCAAAATAAAATAATACAAACAGGCACTGGAAAAACCTCAAGAGAATCTAATAGAAGACAGACTGGACTGGTCTCATGAAGCACATGCAATTTAGATAGGGTTCCTTAACAAGTTACAGCTTCACGAAACCTAACAAATGTTGCCAGCAGTTAATGACTTTCTCTGGTTTAAGTACTCAGACTGTGATTAAACCTTTTTCACTGATTATGTTTACTTTTACTGATGCCCTACATTTCTTTCCATTTAAAATCTTACATACTGCTGCTTTAAGTTTATCAAGTTTGTGGGCTGAATGAAGTTTTTGGGGTGTATTTACTGAAAATATTTCAGTGACTATTGACTTAGTGTTTGTTAGCAATGTTAGCCTTGTAGCTCCAACACTGA